AAATCTCCACAACACTTAATATTGTAAAACGTTTACTTGATAATGATCAAATAATACTAAGTGGATGTCTTTTATCATCAGAATACATTATGAAATGCTTAAGATTATGTTTACAATCAACTTATTTTACATTTAAAGACAAGTTATACCGTCAAACTAATAGCGTTGCGATGGGCTCACCAGTATCCTCGATTGTAGCCAGTTTATATATGAAGGCATTTGAGGAAAGAGCTTGAAGTAGTTTTTACTGTTAACCCAAGCTATGGTATAAGATATGTAGATGATACCTTTGTGATCATCAAGAAAATAGAACTTGAAAATTTTTTACAACACCTGAACACAATATCAAGTTCCATAAAATTTACAAATGAAACCGAATTGAGTGCAAGAACATTGAATTCCTTAGACTGTCTTGTTCAAAGAAAGACCTGAAAGAGAATTCAAAATTAGAATTTACAGAAAAACCTACACATTCTGATAAATATCTAAATTTTCAATCTGACCATCCAATGAACGTTAAAACCACGGTAGCTTTGAACCTATTAAGTAGGGGCAAAAATATTGTGACGGATACGGCAAATAAAGAAAATGAAATTTCTAAAATAAAACAAGTATTTATATGAAAATTTATGAAAGGTCAATGAAGTTATTGGGAAACATAGGAATAAGAAGGGATAGAAAACAAAAAAGGAAAACCTTAATCTTGGTATGAAAATTAAAATCAATACTACCAAGGTAGGTTCAACGTGAGTACAAATTGTTTTTGTATACATAAATGGGGTTTAAATTTACGGATAGCAAGAGCTTCAATAAATTTAAGCACTCGGCTCTGACCACTTTTATGTAGTACTTTAAAGGCTGTTTTCATGTCTATCCTATGGTTAGTTTCTAGTATATGTTTAGCGATAGACGAAGATGGATGTTTGTCACCTGCACTTATCGGATCTGTTGAGGTCACTTGTTTTTGTAGCCACTTAGGTATATGTTCAACCTAAAAGTAAGATGTTATCTATTCTCAGTGATGAAAGCAAATTTACGTCAGATGCCCCCTGTGAGGGAATACGTAAATTGGAAGGCAGAGTAAATTCTAAACTTGTGAAAATGCTTGGTATGAATTTAATCAATAAGGAGGAATTTAATCGTCTAAAACCTATGGGATCTGAACATCCACATCTATATGGGTTACCTAAAACTCATAAGCCTGACAACCCACTGCGTCCAATATTGTCTATGTGTCGATCACCCACACATAATCTAGCCAAATGGTTGGCAAAGCTCTTGAATCCTGTCAGAAGCCATTTATGTAAGTCCTCATTGAAAGATACATTTGACCTTATTGACTGTTTAAATGATATTAATATCAAGGATAAGACTATGTACTCGTTCGATGTAAATTCTTTATTTACTAATGTACCTCTGGTAAAAACAATTGATATTTTATGTGACTATTTCTTCTAACAGTCTTATATTCCCTATCCCTATTAATTTTTTAAAAGATTTATTGTTATTATGCACTGATAAAGTTGAATTCACATTCGAGGGTGAACACTTTCAACAGATTGATGGTGTCGCGATGGGTAGTCCATTAGGACCGTTGCTAGCTGATGTATACATGTCATATGTTGAAAACATGGCTGACGATCTCATCGGAAGGGTTTCACTTTATAAGAGATATGTTGATGATATAGTCATTATATGTGAAAAGCCTGATGATGCAATGTGCCTGCTACAGAAAATGAACACGGCTCAGAATCACATTAGCCTGACTTGTGAACAAGAGACGAACAACCAGCTACCGTTCCTAGACGTATTGCTCAGTCGACGGGAGGATGGCTCGATCAGGAGGTCGATCTATAAGAAACCTACATGGACAAGGCAATATCTTAATTTCCATAGCTATTGTCCAGTCCAATATAAACGTGGTTTAGTCAGATGCTTATTCAACAGGATAAACCGTATCTGCACCGATGACACCAGGGAGGAAGAAACCAACTTACTGACGACAACTCTGATACAGAATGGATACCCGTTGAGATTTATCGACCGGTGCAAAAGTTATGTACCATTGAAAAGTATACAGTGTTCCGTTGCTAAGACAAATGTCTACATCTCATTACCATTTAGAGGTGATTCACATAGCTTTGTTGTGAGGAAAAGACTTAGATCGGCCATCTGTAAAACGTATTATGCAGCTAAGGTCATCATTGTAGAGAAGACCAAGTCCATGTTACAGCACAAACCGAAACAACATATAAACGATTACATCACATCCCACTGTGTTTATCAATTTACATGTATGTGTGGACACACATATATAGGGAGGAGTAATCGTGATATGCAGTTAAGGAAGGTTGAACATGTACCTAAGTGGCTACAAAAACAAATGACCTCAACAGATCCGATAAGTGCAGGTGACAAACATCCATCTTCGTCTATCGCTAAACATATACTAGAAACTAACCATAGGATAGACATGAAAACAGCCTTTAAAGTACTACATAAAAGTGGTCAGAGCCGAGTGCTTAAATTTATTGAAGCTCTTGCCATCCGTAAATTTAAACCCCCTTTATGTATACAAAAACAATTTGTACTCACGTTGAACCTACCTTGGTAGTATTGATTTTAATTTTCATACCAAGAATAAGGTTTTCCTTTTTTTTCTATCCCTTCCTATTCCTATGTTTCCCATTAACTTCATTGACCTTTTCGTAAATTTTCATATAAATAGTTCGACAAGTCCATGTGTGATCAGATTGTTCGAAATGTATAGCGCTGATACATCACGTTTCAGATAATCTTCGTCTTCTCATTACGCTGTTTAAATTTATCAAAGGGACCAGTTGCTTTGAAACAAGTATTGATAGAGAATGATTATCCAAGACATTTTCTGAACAATATTATTAAGAAGAATGACAAGAAAGAAAAAGACAAGAAAAGTAAGGGAGAGGAGAAATCATGGATATCAACAATGACAATTCCATACAGGTAGGGCATTTCAGAACAAATGCAAAGGGTTAGGGTATATATATATATATATATATATATATATATATATATATATATATATATATATATATATATATATATATATATATACGGTATTAAGGTATATTGTAAACCCTCAAATTCTTTGGAAAGAACATTAGTCAAAGTGAAAGATATGGAAAAGAGGTCAGCAATAGCAATGCATGCCGTTGAAATTGGGCACAAAATCGATTTTGACAATGTTGGCATACTAGGGAAGGGTTTCCGTACACATAAACAGAGATTGATATCAGAAGCCTTACATATTCTAACATCAACGGATGCTTTAAACAGAAAGGAAGGTACTAACTTATCACCTATATAGCAGACTCTAATTAGACAAAAACTTGAAAAAAGGTCACCATTTAAATTTGAACTTTAAAAAGCCAAAAACAGCATGCATCAATTATTGTGGATATACAAACATATTTTTTGATATTTTTATATGATAAACAACGAATGACATTCTCCATAAAAAGTTAACACACATGCACATACATGCAATTTGATTACTGAATCGTTCTTCGATGATAGTTGACAAAAATTGTATGAATTTATGATGATTAACTGGAAACAGTCTGAACAACACAACAGCTAACCAATTACATAAAGACAAAAATTTCTACATGAACCTTTTGACTGTATATAAAAAAACCCCGAATATTCTGCTGAAGAAGCTGGCATACACAGCGAAACGTTCAGAAAAATCTTGTTTTCGATTTTCTAAACACACTGAGATTATATAAAAACTTACCCATATAATGAAATAATAATAATAATAAAATTTTGTCTGACATCATGAGAATATGAATAAGTTAGCTACCTGTGGACATTCAAGGTTTGAGACAATGTACTGCCTTAATTAGCTATTGTACTGATTAGACGGAGTTTCATCCATGGCTCTCCGCTGACGTATCAGTGTATTTAGTCCTACAAGAGTGCAGTCAAGGTGGAAAGAAATCAACGTTAACCTAGCTGGTTGGCACCATTAATAACAAATATTTAAGTGATGTTATTTGGATAGAAATAGTCTACAGAAAGCCCTGCTCATCCTAGGGTTTGTGCTTTTTAGGAATCGTCATCAGCAAGATGTGTCTACAATCCTGTGGAATTGATGACCTACTTGAGATCTGAACCCGCTGCAGTCAGCGATGTTATTACTGAACTGACCTCTCATAGGACTGAATTACATAGATTGACTGGTCATTGGAGATCGACCAGATACATTTTATCTAGTCTTGAGTGCAAACCGAATTCTATCGATCATTTTTCAGTGTAGCTAACAAGCTAGGAGGTTCACCATCGCGATGCTTTTTGACAGACGTTAGTTGGATGGAGGTAGTCGGTGGTAAAACCTGGACCTAGGTTACAAGCTATCCGGTACTCGTCAGCAGGGCGTATCTGGAACCCCGACGGAAATGATGTCCCACCTGAGATTCGAGCTGACGTCACCCATTGCTGTAGTCAAAGTCTTTACCACTGACCTGTTCGAGCCTTGACTGACCTACTGTAGGGCTGGATTACTTACGTTGATTAGTCACGGAAAGGTAACCAATTTCATATTGTTTTGTCTTATTTAATTCCCAAATTTCATCGATCATTTACATTTTTGCCACCAGACTAAAAGATTCACCATCACATTGCACTTTCAAAAATGTTAGTTGGATGGAGACAATCGACCGGAAGTATATAGGACTAGACAACATGAAGTTGGTTACCTTCCAGTGACCAATCAAGGTAATGATATTGATTTTCCAACTTCATGGTATGCTATTGCTTGTCATAAACCAGAGAAGACTGAGCTATCAATTATGATTAATCCACCATCATATCATTTTACTATTGAACTGACGAAGACATGAATATTTTATCGTCAAGTTTTTGCACTTATTACACAGGGCGCATTATAAATTCAAGTTAGTACTAATAATATTACAAACTTTGAGTCTTTATCTTTTGATTACTTTATATTGCAGGACCTATCTCTGCAGCAGTGACAAATAAGTTTGGTTGTCGACCAGTAGCTCTTTTCGGGTGTTGTTTGGGATCGATATCCATCTTCATCAGTTCTCTAATGCCTAGTGTAGAAGCGCTAATTATCACTTTGGGAATATTTACTGGTTAGTCGTTTTTTAAGAATTTCAGTAATGATGCTTTTAATTACCAATGTTTAAAGCAACTGGTCCCTTTGATAAATTTAAACAGCGTAATGAGAAGACGAAGATTATCTTTTCACACAAAGAGTACGGTTTTCCTTTTTTGTTTTCTATCCCTTCCTATTCCTATGTTTCCCCTTAACTTCATTGACCTTTTCATAAATTTTCATATAAATAATTCGACAAGTCCATGTGTGATCAGATTGTTCGAAATGTATAGCGCTAATACATCACATATTTCAGATAATCTTCGTCTTCTCATTACGCTGTTTAAATTACCATTGTGTTAAAATTTATATGGATTGATATCATCTTCGTAAAAGACTGAAAAATAATGCTAATTAGATTCGTTCTCGAAGATGCTGATTGTCGGTAATGGTAATTTAAACAGCGTAATGAGAAGACGAAGATTATCTGAAATATGTGATGTATTAGCGCTATACATTTCGAACAATCTGATCACACATGGACTTGTCGAACTATTTATATGAAAGTTTACGAAAAGGCCAGTGAAGTTAATGGGAAACATATATATATATATATATATATATATATATATATATATATATATATATATATATAGCTGTTTCGTCCTAGTATGGGACTCCTCAGCAGTGCGCACCCACGACCCCTCCCCCCAGGGATCGAACCCGCGACCTTCAGGTTCCGCGGTCAGCGCGTTACCATTGAGCCACTGGGTCGGAATCCAATGCTCCATATTTCTAACTTCTGTTAGCTCACGATATATATATATATATATATATATATATATATATATATACATGTGTATCTCTCTCTCTCTCTCTCTCTCTCTCTATATATATATATATATATATATATATGTATCCTAGTAAGCTAAGGAATTTAGAAAATAGGTCAACTGTAACTATACCTGTGGTTACACACAACCACACAATAGGATGGATGGGACAGGGTGAACACTCTTATAACTAACATAACAGGATGGGGAGAGAGATTGGTAAGTGAATCTTTGATTATCGAATCAACATCTAACACATGCAGCAGGAATGACTCGACACGTTCCGGATATATAAAATCTTACAACCCATTTCACAAAGAGACGAAGAAATTAGGACTAAATAAAGGATATCTCAAAGTTGTATAGTTATATTGATATTACAAGACATATGATGAAAATAATATTATAATTACATTATATAAAGCTACTTGTATTAGAGTGAAGCCAGAAGAGGATCTAGTCGAAAACACTATTGTTTGCTTATATGTTTTCTAATATCAGTATAACTACACAACTTCAAGATATCCTATATTTAGTCCTAATTTCTTCGTCTCTTTGTGAAATGGGTTGTAAGATTTTGTATATCCGGAACACGTGTCGAGTCATTCCTGTTGCATGTGTTAGATGTTGATTCGATAATCAAAGATTCACTCACCAATCTCTCTCCCCATCCTGTTATGTTAGTTTTAAGAGTGTTCACCCTGTCCCATCCATCCTATTGTGTGGTTGTGTGTAATCACAGGTATAGTTGCGGTTGACCTATTTTCTAAATTTCTTAGCTTACTAGGATCTACAAGTTTTGACCTATGTTTTTGTGTTCGTATAGCCTAAATGACCGTATTCAACTTCTTTGACCTATGTATTTGACCTCGCGATCGTTGCCCAGGATTTTGGTAAACTGAGTTATTCTGTTTAATTGGGTCAATAGGATCTTTCGACCTACAAAGCTTATTTTAAAGTATGTTTTTACGTTGTCTAATTATCATGATAAGACTGTGGACAATAAATTATGTCGGAAACCTAATCCAGTAAACAGTAGTATTAGGGTGTGTGATAAAACTAATAAATTAATAAAAAATCGAAGTAACTGCTTTTCGTCTTACTGCTATCCAACACACCTTTCTTTCGTGGTGGGACTTTAAGATAACAAGCGTTCCAGTGAGTGTAGCTTGTTGGATCATTGTGATATACATGCCTAACCACCACGTCAAGGTAGCAGTTATCAATAACCTCCACACAATGGGTGAGGCTTATTGCATACTGCAAGAATTTACATAAAGCTGTTGAGTGAATTGTGATTTCGAAAAAAGCAATGAAAAAAGACACTAACTCCACTAGATATTCTTAAAGATATTTGATTATATGAACTGAAAGTTCAAAGCCATAAGAAACTTCTGTCAACTAATGGAATTAAGGGTTACGTGTGGAAATATTTGAGGAACATTGTCTAAAGATTTCTGGTAATATCATTTTATGAATTTACAGACATTAGATGGAAACTGTAGTTATGGGAATTATCTGAATACTTAACTTCGCTTCTAGCAAAAGTGGTAGAGTTTTATTTATCGAAAAGTGGATCTTTTTTTCTATGTAGCATTCGTCTTACAGTGGAACTCAACAGATCACTTTAGCCTGAGCTATAATGTGTTCAGCGTCAAAATCTCTGCAGTATATTACTTCTACTACCATTTTGGTTATGAAGTGAATTCATTCTTGTATTATAAATTTCACAAGGATAGTAATCAATGTTATAAAGAAGGTTTTTCAGTACTTTACATCCGAACCTTTATATAATTTTCTTACGACAGTTTCTCTGTGTAACTCCATCGTTCACCGGACCGAATTAATCAGTCACCATTGGAGTGTGAGTCCCTGTGCCTATCCCTCAATTTACTACGGTCCTGGGTATAGTGTAGACTTCCGCTATGTTTCCTTTTCAATTCCATACCTCTTAGTTATCTTTTCATATGAGTTCTAACTTCTTCCTGCCTATCTGCAGTATCCATTGTTATATGCTTATCCCATATTTTTTCTTTTTAGAGCCTTTTTTCATGTTCATAGGAGCGTTGAACAATGCATATTCAATCAATTATCAATAACTTTTAGTATCTTTGATATCCTCCAGGTGTTCTTTCTCAGATTCTTGAAGTTGATAATGTGAAGTTAGCATGCTTGACGAATCTTCTGCAGATTTATACTGTTACCTGTGTAAAATCTCTTTGTAGATTCCCACAGTTGTGTTTTAGGTAATTAGTCAATGGGACAGCATGATTTGTCACTAATTTTAACGATCTTGATTCCCCTTGTTACTCATAGTTCTTTAAAAGGCTGTATATCTTCCAAATAAAATAAATTGCTGTTTTCCCTTTCTTAATTGCCAGATACATCATCCAGGAAGGTGATAATAATTCTGTTTTCTTAGAAGATTTCCTGTCTTGTCGAGCTAAAGTGATAAGACTGTGGAGCTTTGTCTGAATTAATTGAAGTTACCGCACTGCGTCATCAAGAGGTGTAGAGCGAACCGGGGGTTAAAACTGAGTATTCAGTAAATGATTTGATTTATATTTTCATCATTTAAAACAGAAAGTCATTTTTATTGCTATTTGTAATTCCCTGTAGTTATGCTGGGCGAACTGCTTCATCTCTCTTGGGAGACTAACTCTTATGCGGGTGCCCAGATACTGACTGGACCTTCGTTATTTTATAGTTTACTTGGTGACTGGCAGTATAATACAAGGTGCACGTTTCGTCCTGTTTGGAACTCGTCAGCCGGCGCATGTACCTGCATCCCAGTGAATGACGTTGTTCCCCCTGAGACTTGAACCGAAGAGCAGTCGCTTCAAACGCCAAAGCATTATCCACTAGGCCAATGGGGCATGAGAACCACTTCTTGTCCAGCGGGTATCAGTTATCGGTTATTGATATGACTGAAAAGTCACATTGATTATCGAGTATATGGCCTATCCTAGAGTTGTCCTGACAGTAGAAAAATCAAGAAGCGTAATGCTTTCCTATGTCATGTTCACATACAGCTGCATTGATTGGTCACGGGAGTGCAACCAATTTCGTGATATCTAGTCCTGAGTGGAGACCGAACCCTATCGATCATATTTGCAATGTGGCACCCAAGCTAGGAAGCTCAGCTTCGCGGTACACATTAGTAGATGTTAGTTGGTTGGAGACAATCGGCTGAAATTGTTTGCACTCCCGTGGCCAATCAATACATGTAAGCCAGTCCTACAGGGGGTGAATCGCGGCCCGAATAGTTCAGTGGTAAAGTAGCTGACTACAACACTGGGTGACGCGGGTTCGAATCTCAGGCCGGACAGCAGTTCCGTCGAGGTTGTAGATACGCCTTGCTGACGAGTGCCAGAAAGCAGGTCCGGGGCTTTCTGCTGATTGCCTCCAACCAACATACAACACATACAACTGCTTTGTTCACTGTTCTCAAGTTAAATTCCTAGTAATGTGTAATTCCTGTTGTTTAAAGCTCAGTTTGTCACCAGTTTCATATATCCTTTATGATACACATGAAATGTGTAGTCGAATAGAAAATAACCGAATTAGGAAGTTGATAAACTAATTTATTTCACTTGTTCTTTTATATTGAAGGATTAAATATAATTGCATACTTTTTATTCCATTTTCCATTGTAGGTATATCATTTGGACTAATATATTTACCAGCATTAATAGCTGTTAGTTTCTACTTTAACAAAAAACGTGAAATAGCTAGTGGGATAGCTGTCACTGGTACACCGTTAGGTGCTGTAGTATTTGGCCCCTTATCAGGATTCCTTATTAGAGTAAGTTTGTTTTAATACTGACTACTCTTGAATTGATTTTATGCGCTTTGTATAGGCAATAACAGATATGCTTAAAAGTGTAGTAAAGCTTTCAGGTAGGGAAAATGGTTCCTAACTTCACTAGGTATTCAGAAGGATGTCCAATTGTTTGCATTGAAACATCAAGACTTTGGAAACTTATCCTATTAACAAATGAAATCAAGGATCACCTGTATAAGGAATACTTTACTGTAATTTGAATGCAGATGCTGCTTTGAAATTAAGCATCATGAAATTGATATCCCATCTCTTTTAACTACTGTGAGGAAACCACATTTATTTTCATCTAGCACCAAGTCAACACGTACAGAAGCAAATATTTCATCCTACAAAAACATCATGTGGCTTACTATTTTTCATCTAATCAGGAAACTGTATACTCAAGAACTACCACCTAACATCGTAATGATATACTTACCAGTGATTGCACATCCAACGAACCTTCTATGCAGTCAAACTCTTACTCTTATTCTGCTTGTAACCTACTTATTCTAAAAAATACTCATATTTTACAAGTTCTATAGTCTTTATGCTCATTTTGAGTGCTAGCGTTGTTTGCAACCACTTGTCCTTTTGTAACGCGGTTAGTGAATATTGCACGGTAAACTGTCAATTGCTCCTTTTTATTTTGCACTCATGTTTGTTTATTGTTTAAAAAGTATGATTTAATGAATGTTTACTTACTACAAAGTTTAACCAGACGATTATTCTCATATAGATATTCTCCGGCTTTCAGCTCACGAGACAAAATTATTCAGACAATTTTCGATAAGTTATATGGTGTGTATGTTGTCATATTTCTCTGTATTTAAAGTGAATTATTTCCAAGGCATGTAACAATTTTCTTACATTTCTTTCGTTTGGGAAATACAAATGAAATTCATCCTTCAGAGTATAGAGTGTATTTTTACTTATGTAATCCCGAAGTAGTATATTCGAAAAAATAACAAAATAAACAAATATTTTGTATTAATCCTCAACGATTCGATTTTGCTAGGAGGATCCTTTTCAAGAGTATGAATCTGACATTAAGTTTTCAGGTTAATATTTAAGTTCTGGTACAGAAGGTGGTGACATTTACAGTCATTAAATTACAACGTGATATGGACCGAAGATCGATGTAATACACGTGAGTGAATAAGCAACCCGGTCAAAGGGGCTTTTTTCATCCTCGTGAAAAACTGACATGTGTAGAAATCATGGATATCTGTTATCTTATTCTATTCTGTACATTAATTCTACTTATATAAACCTTACCTGCCAAAACTGTCAAACTAGTATAATCATGCCTGTAAACTGATGTGTACTTGTATTTACAACAATAAATCATTATTACTATTATTGAATAAAATGTGATATAGCTAGTATATACTCAAAACTTTATTATGATTATTATTTGTCCCCTGGGGTCCTAGTGGAACACGGGCTTCAACAACACGTCGACATTCCACTCACTTCTCTGCAGTCTTCTCAACCTACCTACACCAACCCACAAACTTCCATTCCCTCATCACACAATCCCCTTCATGTCACCCTCAAACAACCAACTCGTCCTCTCACATTCGGCCTCCACTCGACGGTCTAGCCTAGCCTAGACTAGCCTAGCCTAGCCAAGCCAAGCACACGATATCCTCAAACTGTCTTCTCAGTGCATGTCCAATCCATCTCCACTTCCCTCTGCATATTTCTTGGTTGGTTCATTTCCAGCCAGCCAGCCAGAGTTCCTTGATGCTTATTCTGCTTATTATTCTGGCCATCTACCTGATCATCATTATCGAGTGAGCGTGGGCAGCAACTGTTGATGAATATCTACAGTTTGTTGGAAATGCTTTGGTAACTCGCCACCGAGTCTCTCAACCATCACATAGAAGCACTGACTTGACTGGTATTGGTGTTGAAAGTGTTGATCTTGTTCATGCACGCTTTATGCTGAGTCCAGTCGAGTGGAGTGGAGTGGAGTGGAGTGGAGTAGATCTCCACACTCATTTCAGGTTAATGAAGACAGGCTTGTGTTGCTGTCTTTCCGATTCTGGTCTTGACATCTTCATCTGTGCCGCAGCAGCCGTGGCGTGTAGTTGAGACGATGCTGCCTTTCTTAGGTAGGTAGGTGGGTAGGTAGGTGAAACAGACAAATTCCTTTGGGTTTCTCCTATTGATGTTGATTGGTGTTTGTTGTTGTTGATTGTGTATCTTCATCACCTCTGTCTTCTCTACTTTCACCTGAAATCCCGTCTTCGGTACCTCACCTCCTCTATCAACTTGTTGGTTTTCTTTCGTGTTCCTTTTACACTAATAGCCTACTGTACAGAAATTTTAATTAAATGCATATTTGAAAGATTTACAGCAGTCTGAATGGATTTGATTCATCCCTCTATTTTTGTTATTCTTACTTTTTAAAAGATTCGTTTTTCCTTTGCATTGTAGAACTATTTTAAAAATATCCTCTAAATTCTTATATGACCTATTCTTTTTTAACCTTGTTTGGAATTCTACACCTTTCATCGACCTAGAAAGCAATTCATACTTTTCTCTTTTAAAACATTTTATAGAATGTCTTCATTTCAACACCAAATTTACGAATTAAATGTACCTGAGTAACAAAATCCATTAAATTCTAGGAAAAATTAATCTCGTTATATGATAATTTTTTGTTTTTGTATTAAGATAACTTATAACCAGGCATGTTAACTATGAACATTGTTAGTTAGCTAATTTTCCTAATTGACCTTAGAATATATACTTCATATCTAGTGAAAGTATTTGTTTCAAGTCTTTTGTCAACTAGTATATTGTACTTCACTAGATTTAGCAGATTGACACACCCTAAAAATAGTATTTTTATGCCAGAGTTAATTATCTGATCGAAGTACAAAAATATGCACCGTTTGATTCTGACCTAGAGGCTCAATGTAACGTGCTCGTCATGGAACCTGAAGGTCTAACGATCTCTGGCTGGATGGTGTCACAGATGTGCAATACTGAGGAGTCCTACGGTTGTGTGAAGCAGTTGTCCGGTGCTCTCATTTTTTCAGTGGTTCTGCAACCGATATCAGTCCGTGATAAATATCAACCTGAAGTCAATAAATATTCCCTCCAAACTGGTTTAATAAGCGTCAAATTACGCGCTGTCTTGCGAATTCTATTCTACAATTCTATTCTCAATGAACATGTTATTCCATCTTTATTGATCTATTGGTTTTATTACACAGTGTGACAGTATTGTTTACTGGATTACATTTAGGACATAATTTATTGTCGAGTCATATCAAGATATAGTTTGTCCTAATTTCTTCGTCTCTTTATGAGTAATAAGAGTAATGAGAGTAATAAGATTTTCCATATATCCGGAACAGGTGTTGATTCATTCCTGCTGCATGTGTTAGGTGTTGACTCGATAATCAAAGATTCACTTACCAATCTCTCCCTCTATCCTGTTATGTTAGTTTTAAGAGTGTTCACCCTGTCTCATCCATCCTATTGTGTGGTTGTGTGTAATCACAGGTATAGTTACAGTTGACCTATTTTCTAAATTTCCTAGCTTACTAGGATCTACAAGTTTTGACCTAACTATGTTTTTGTGTTCGTATAGCCTAAATGACCGTATTGGACTTCTTTGGCCTATGCATTTGACCTCGCGATCGTTGCCCAGGCTTTTGGTAAACTAAGTTATTCTGTTTAATTGGGTCAATAGGATCTTTCGACCTACAAAGCTTATTTTGAAGTGAGTTTGTAGGTTTAAACCTGCAACACCACTCTAATCCCAGCCTTATTGAGAATTCTGCGTAGTGTTTCTGAGGTGCCTTCTTTGTACGGTAATACTGTAAAGGTTTTGATTTCTCTCTTCACTGTATTTCCACTACTATTATTGATATGATTATCAACACTATTATTACTATTATTGTTGCTGTTATTTCCACTATTATCACTACCATTAATAACTGTGTTACTAATATTTTTCTTACGATTTCTATGGAGGTTATCAATTAATTTGGGAGAGTAATTGTTGATGATTAAGGTGTCTTTAATATATTTGGTTTCTTGTTTTATATATTGTTTTACTAGTAATTTTTTGGCCCTGTTACCAAGCCAACTTTAACTGATATAGGGTGCGACGGTTTGAAGTCTAAGTAACGGTTTGAATGTGGAAGTCTTCTGTAGAAACTAGTGTCTCAACTCCCATCTTGTTTCCTTTTTATTCGGCAATCTAACATCGCTGATTCTCCTTCACTATTTTCTAATTCATAGGTGAGTTGAATTGTACTGACTACTGAATAACTTATTATTATTTATTTATTTATTAGTCCCTTGGGTTCCTAGTGGAACATAGGGCTTCAGTAGCACGCCTCCAGTGACCTCTGTTCTCTGAGATCTTTTGAACTTGGTTCCACGACAGCCCAGAAGCTCTCATTTCCTCCTCGCATGACCTCCTCCATGTCACCCTCACCTCGGACGTCCAACTCGTCGCTTCCCATGGGGATTCCACTCGAGGGCCTGACGCGTGATGTCCTCAGTCGGCCTTCTCAGTGCATGGCCAATCCATCTCCACTTCTTCCTGCATATTTGTTGCGTGATAGGTTCTTGGTTGCTTCGTTCCCAGAGTTCCTTGTTGCTTATTCTTTCTGGCCATCTGATCTTCAGCAGCGAGCGTAAGCAGTTGTTGATGAATGTCTGTAGTTTATTGGAAATGCCTTTCGTGACGCGCCAAGTCTGTGAGCCATACAGGAGCACTGACTTGACGTTGGTGTTGAAAATCCGTATCTTGTTCCGCATGCTGAGTGCAGAAGATCTCCACACTGGTTTCAGGCTAATGAACGCCTGTCTTGCTTTTCCGATTCTCACTTTGACGTCCTCGTCCGTCCCGCCTGTAGTTGAAACAGTGCTTCCTAGATAAGTGAAGGAGGTTACTTCCTTCAAGTTTCTCCCGTTGACGGTGATTGGAGTTTGTTGTTCTTGTTGATGGT